TATTTATTAAATAATAATAAATAGATGAAAAATTAGATGTGTAAAGAATTTTAAAAAGTGGTAATTCATGAATAAGAATATTTATCATATCAGATAAATGTTTGTATATTTAAAATTTTTAGAAATATTTTAAATTTATGAACGTGCAAAATGGGTTAAAGTAATGATGTTTCAAAAACATACTTTTGAAAATAATAAAATTAAAAATATATAAAATTAATTAACGAAATCATGTAATAAAAAGAAGTTAAAAAATATATAAAAATATAAATATGTAATATGAAAAACCATTTTTTATATTAAAAACACGAATTAAAAAATGAAAATTTATGTTAATTTTAAGAAAACAATTTAAAGAAAAATTAATGCGTGTATGTTCGTAATCACATAGTATTGATTATGTTAAAATATCTTTTTAATATTTTCTTTGTTACTAAATAAGTTTTTAAGCTTGAAATTTTTTTTATTTAAATATTTTGTATTTGCTATACTTTTTCATTCTAAAGATAAATGATATTAAAGAAATTCATCAAGTATTATTATTGAAATTATAATTTTTCTATTTTTTTCAAGCAAAGAAGTTTATTTTATAACATTAAAGAAATCATGAAGAAACGAAGGAAATCTTAAATTCTCTAATAAAACGACAAAAGATTTTCCATACAAATATTTTCCTTAGTGAACTAAAATGAATTTATTAATTTTAAAACAGATGAACATAACTATTAACGTATTTTATGGCATATAAGATGCGACTTTTGTTTGAAAAAAGGCTAAATATGAAGTTGTGTTCTCCCATAGACTAATGAATTTCCCAAACTTTCTTCAGTAGGCTACAGGTGACGTCTACCTAACACTTGAATAAAAATGTTATTTTTTAATTAAACTTATTATTATTATTATTATTATTTTGTTAGAATTAAACTGCTTTTGCATGCATTATGTAGAATATTTTTATGGTAAATGACTTCTTTTAAACTTCTGGCTTTCACTAATCAATAAAAGTATGAATTCTAATTTTACTTTTTAAAAACCAGAATAAAGTAAAAAAAGCGGTGCCGAGTGCCAAAAGCGAATCGCCAATAACGGCCACCTTTAATCAGTGGCCATTTTTCCAGAAACTTTTAACAAAAATGCATACAAAATAACCACCAAACAGTTGCCACTTCCTAACAACGGCTATTTTTTATGTTCACGTCAATGACCATTGTTCAGAGATTTGACTGTGTGTAATCTATCATAGCTTTTTCATGTGTCTGCTTTTATTGAATAAAAATTGGAAAAATGATATTAAATTAATTTTTTATTTTTATAATTATATTCAAATATAAAAAACCATAATAAGTATAGTGTTTTTAAACAATTAAATAAGATAAATTTAACTTGAAAACAAAGAATGGTAACAATATAAAATAAGGACTTGCCTGAAGAAAGGATAAATTTAAACATTATTAAAAGCTAAGTTATACTATCAAATGTTTCTATAACGTATGTGAAACTTCAGTGCGTATTTTTTAGAATTTAACATATTTATGACGAAGAACTTGACACCCACATACAAGAAAGCGACAATCATAACATTTGTAGCCTTCAAACCATGATATTAACACATTGAAATCCTTATTGACACAGGACAAAGAACGTATGTTCTTATATGAAAAGTTAAACCCCAAAAAAATAAAAAATAATAAAAATATTTCTAACGGAAACTGGAATTTAAAATATGAAATTGTGACAGAAAATAAATAATATTAAAATATAACGAATGTGGCTGGCAAAAACTGTTGTTTTGAATTGCAAAGAATATGAATAAAAAATAAATAAATAAATTTATATTTTTTTCCTATATTTTATCTGCAGATAAAAATAGAAAAACAAAAAAAAAAAACAATTCGATTTTATCATTCAATAGGCACTCCACTGGGCATATTGCTTCTAGTATAAAGTATAGAACCATAACCAAAACAAGGATATGAAAAAAAATAAATAAACAAGTAAAATATTTAACAAAAGGTATTAAAATATTGTTTATTTTACTTTATAATTTAAAAAAAAATTATTATAATAATTTAAGTATCTTAGAAAAAATTAAACCAGTTTTTACAACACAACACAATTTTTCCATTAAGTAATAATTAACTATTTATCACTTTATTTTTTCTTCAACTCATTAGCTTGATTCTCTAGAGAAATTTATAGTTGAAAATAAAATAAAATAAAATATTTTTAAAATCAATAAATAAACAGTATATATATAGCCTATATATTAGAATACATACTTCCATGTGTAATGAGAATATTATACAGAACTTACCTCGGATTTATAAGCACGGATAAAGTTACATAATAAAGTGAAAATTACATTTCATCTATAAAAGATTGCTATTTAAAGACTAGTGAATATGTGAAAACTTATGTTCCAAAGTTGTTTATCCAGATGGTGTCTTGAAAGAAGTTATTTAAATTTAGAAAGTTTAGAATTTTAAGAAAATAATAATAATAATAATAATTTATTTTATTATATAAGTTTTTAAATATTTCTAAATTTTTCTGATAAAATTCTTAATTGAAACAGGTGCTTTATATTCAGTAGCGTCGTTAGTTTTGGAGAGAAGTAAGACAAAAATAGCCGATTCAATAACCAAAATTCCCGACTATTTGCGCACTTTATTCTGTATTTAAAATAACAGTAACGAAGGGTTTAGAAGTTTTAAAGAAAATACGGTTACAAACCTATAAAAGCTAATGAGTTATTAGTTTAAACTTTAACATCAATTTATAAATTAATAACACACTTTAAAGGTTTAAAAACTGATTAAATAAATATTATAAGTTATTTATTTACAAAGTTATATACTCATAAGTTTGACCGATATGTAACGGTTCATAGCTATATCATTTGATCATTTCCCGACTGTGAAATATATTTTCCGACTGAAATGACCCATCCCTCCAAACGTCGAATATAATGATAACTCCTATATAATAACGCCCTTGTCTATATTATGTCAATGTTTTATAAATTATTTTGATGACATTTTTTAAGAACATGGTATTTACATTATTTATACATTAGTAATTAAGTTTTTATCAAATTAAATAATGTGTAAGCTTAATTAATTTTCTTTAAGACATTTTTATTACTCGGTTTAGTTAATGATAACCTGTCTGAGTAATGCCAGACAAGTGTCTATAAATTTCAATTTTTCGGATGTTTTTAATATAACATGCTAACAAATCCGAAAATTTATTGAAAATTTAATTTATACAAACGTTTCGTTATAAAAAATTTAAAATATATACTGTAAAAATTTAATTAATTATTTATTTATATAATAATTTACATACTTTTATGTATAATTCGAAAATAAAATATTTCAACTTTCCACGTTTCATAAACTCTGGCTAGTGAAAAAGTATATAGCCGGATACTTTCTTGGGCATTTTGAAATAAACAGAAACATAAATATTATATTTAAATTTTTAATTCGATAATTTAAATAAACACAATCAAATAAGACGAATTTTTGATGAGAAGAGTGAAAAGCTGTACGAACTTACGATTTTATTAAGTGATTTTCACATACATATTTATGGAATTCGGAGTTTCTTAAAACTTTTATCAATAAAATTACACATAGTTTATAAAAATATTTAGAGTCTGCTATAATAAAATTGTTTTATTTTTAAAAATTGTCCATAAATTCCAGTTTTAAATAAATATAAAAAGAACCTATCTGAACAAGAATTTAACAGACATTCATGAGTCCACCAGACATTTAATAGGTTATTTATGGAATTTATGCAGTTAAAAGTATTGCGAAATGTAATGAGTTGTGAAATTATTTTCATTTGTAAGATATTAAGTTTGAAAAGGTTAATAAATATTCGCATATAAATTGTAAACAATCATAAATTAGCATTTTATATCTTTTATTATAAAAGTTCTCTAATACTTATATCCTTAATACTTGAATGATTTTTTAAGCATACATTAAAACTGCAAGACGAAAAAATGATTAATGTTTTTAATAAGCCTGAGGTACATTTGTATCTCACCCGTAAGATGATGGTTAAAGAAAATTGAAGATAATAGCAAGATAATGGATCGCTGTTATATGACATCACGGTGATTGAAGGATAAAGTTCTGAACTGTTATTCCAAACTATTATATCATTTAATTTATTTTTTTAAGAGTTGAAAAACTTTTTTGAGTTGTTTTATAAGTTATTGAATCATATAACGCGATTTAAAATCATTAATTACATAAGATATTCAGATTCTTAATTAATAAATGATTTCTATTTTAGAAAATTTTAATTAACTTGTTGGTTTCGATAAACTAATAATTGAATAAAGGATATTGTTATTACTTTTTTTTAAAGTTTTGTTAATTTAAAAGACGTATATTTTACGAAAAATTATAAAAATTCATATAAAATATATTCTCTTTATAAAATTTTAATTTATGGATCACTAATGCTAAAATATATATTTATTTGACAGTATATGTAACATAAATAATTGTACTATAACCTCAACAGTACATCATATCGGATTACAAAGAACAAAGAGGAAATAAAATTAAAGAAAAAGTTTTTTTTTACGAAAAATAATAAGATTTTTCTATATATTTTTATATTTTCTACACTAAAAATGTTTTTTTCAGAAAACAGTATTATAAAAAATGAAATATTTGAAAAGTTTTATAAAAATCGCAAAATAAAAAAATAATATTTTTGTTATATCCCCGTTATTTTTAATTAAATTATATCATGGAAAAATTTTATATCCATTTTGTTAACTTTTTTTTTCACAGTATTTAACCTTCGATTTGAAATTGACTTAAAAATTAAATAATAAAATTATTAAAACTTTATATTTTAATAACATTAATTTGTAGACAAATTATATACATATATATTACTCAAAGTACTACAAGTATTATTTTAAGTAAAATTAAATTAGAATTATAATATAAGTATTTTAATATACTTACCTTTAATTAAAAATTATATATACGCACACAAATAGATATATGTATATATATATATATATAGAAGGTAGCCTAAATAGGTCAAAACTTAAATTAGAAAATGCTTTTTCGAGTTTTTATATAGAAAAATTCTTTTATTCCTTCATCAAAACTAACCGTTTCGATACTTTTCACCTGGATAGACAATATTGCAAGTGAATTTATCCCCCGTTGTTCCGCTCATGTATTTTTTTTCACTCTCTTTAATACTGCTAACGACCTTTCTTCGTTATCATTACTTGAGAGGAGCGCAAGAAAAACAAGTTTGGGAAGAGCAAGAGCGCAACAAACTGAATAAGTTTGGAAACGTAAATTCTAATTCTTTAATGAGTTTGTATAATTTCATTTGTTTACAAATTATTGTACCTTTTTTCTCAAAGCAAACTGTATAAATTATAAAATGTTTATATTGAACGACATCCTCCAAATTATTTTTATAAATCGTTTTACAAAAAGCCTCATATGGATAATTTTAGGGAATGTAAAAGCACGGAAATATTAATTATAATTTCTCTTCTGGAATAGCTGATGGATTAATTTAAACTTTCCATAAGTCTAGGAGTTTCAACTATTAGATGAAACTTTTAGTTTTTCCATACAAAAAATTATAAATAAATTATTGACTTAGTTACGATACGAAGGTAATAGTTACTTCTTCTTTCAGATAAGGATAACATTGATCAGTTATTTTGATATTATCCTTTCGACTAAAACATATTTCGTGATCACTTATATAATTTCTAATCTGTTCTGTTGTTTCTTCTATGTAAAATGCATCACATATACCTAAAGTTTTTACTTTTATCAATATCTTTAGTTTATGTAAAAGAATATACAAAATTTTTATATAAAGACTAGCAGACCCCGCCACGCGTTGTTGTGGATCAAAATGTATCTATTATAAATGTATAACACTTCCCCCGTGGGGGGAAATTTTTCGAAAAATTTTTTCTTAGTGTACATTCTCTTGACATACCCTATTAAAACACAATAAAAAACGCAAAAAACCGCATCTAAAATAGTATAAATAGAAGCAGAGTTCTTTACGGTAAGCCTTAATCCTAACCATCTCCCTTC